ATAGTATTCTCAACAGGTTGGTGAGTTATGGTGTGGCATCCCATCCCTAGCGTTGCCCTTGCTCTCACCCCAGCTGCTGGCAGACCTGGAGGAGAGTGGCTGCCGCTTCCGCTGGATGGACAAGCCGCCCCTCGAAGCCCTGCGCTCATGACAGCCCTGAGCCCTTAATGGGCCTCCAGTTGTTGTGTCTGCAACATAATAGTACCTTAATCGTTCTTCGTGCTATCTTGCGCTAGGCTGATGAGTCTTGACCAGGCCCTCAGAAGTCAGACTTTTTTCTCTGATTTGGGCTTTTTTCTCTGATATTTCAGATTTTTTTTCCTGTGTACTCTGATAAAATCAGACTTTTTTGGGCCTCAACTCTGTAATTTTCAGACTTTTTTTAAGGCTAACTCTGAGAGTTCAGAGTTTTCTGAGAGTGTACTCTGATCATTCAGAGTACAAACGCGTCCTTGACTGGTGATTCGGACTTACGGGTCACAGCAGATTCGCACTGCCAAAGCAAAATCGCCTTGACAGAGCAAATCCGAGCCCAAGATTTTCGCCTAATCATAGCATAATTGCCCTGACGACAAATTTGCGTTCAGAGCACCACAATTTTCGCCCAATCACAGCAAAATCGCCCTGACATTGCACATTCGCCTTTTCGCACCACAAGATTCGCCCTGTCAGAGCATGTTCTATCGAAAATCCCCTTAGTGTAGCATGTTTCGGTAGCGGGCGAATGAAACATTGGATACACTTCCGATGAAACATTGAATACATTGATTTTGAATGATCAGACTTTTTTTTTTAAGACACTCTGACATTTCAGCCTTTTTTTTTTAATACCAAGTCTGAGATTTTCAGACTAAAATTGTGTACTAGTCTGACGAATCAGACATGCCTAAAACGAAACTGAGGGCCTGGTCTTGACCATGTGGCAATGACAAGTCCGTTGGGATGCAATGCAATAATGTTGCAAGAAGCTAGTTGGTAGTACGGTATTACACTCCATGTACCGTAGCTCCATAACATACTGAACAACCCTAAGTTAGTTACTAACTCGGGCACACAATAGCTTGACAGGACACAACCTTTAAGCTACTACACAACATGCAAAAACCGTTGCAGTAGTACCGTATTTTGACTAAACTGTGGCAGATGGTTTGCAGAATGCTGTACAATCGCATCGGCAGTAGCGACTGCGAGTATTCCCAAACAGTGCTGCCATCTACGGGTGGGCATCAGCACGCTGTGCCGTCAGCAGCGACACGTTCATCCAGTGCAGCCGCGGACCTCCATGCCCCACCGCCGGCCATCCCCCTGCTGCTGCACCCGCTGCTGCACTGGTGGTGGTGGTGGGGGTGTGGGTGCTGTCCTGAGCCATGGCGATGGCATGGGCCACGGCATCATTGTAGCGCCGTGCCTCCTCCATCACATCCGCCGCACCGCATGCTCCTGTGCATGGCCATGAAGGACAGGGGGGAGGCGGTTGGGTGCACGGCATCACTGGGGATCAAAGAACGCAGTGGGGTACGCCCACTGCCCCACCAGCCCCTCCACACTGAGCTCACTGCGCCGCACCCCCCCCGCCACGATGCTGAGCCCGTTGGTCTCCACCGCCTCCTCCGTCCAGCTGCGCCCCGATGCCAGCACCAGCACGTCAAACCGTGCTGCCTGCTGCGCCCATGCGGGGTCGGGCTCATCCACATACATGCGGTTCGGGTAGCACGCATCGCCGCCTGCCAATCCCTGTCAGAATGTGATGGTTGTCTAGCCTGCAGTGGGGTACTCTATAGCGAGTACAGCCCTTCTAGGGTTTGCATATATGTATCCCTATGCTTGTTAGTCAAAACCCTTCTTGCCTGTTTCTCGTTTTGGCCTAGCATTTTGACATGCTATCAGAGCGGGTCGACCCTCCTGGGTCGATCCTGTGGGTGGTCCCACCAGAAGCTTCCGCTGTTGTTTCCTGCTGTTTCCTGCCTGCCGCGCGCTCCGGGCGCGCAGCGATTTTTTCTTCCCGCCGCGCGCCCCGGGCGCGCGGCGGTTTTCTGCCCCGTCACTCGGCGCGTCGCCCCCGGGAGGCGCTGCGACGGGCGACGGGGACCCGCGCGTCGCCCCCCGTCGCCCGTCGTGGCCTGCGCGCGGCCCGTACAGCCGGCGCGCGGCCCGTACGGGCTGCGCCAGGCCCGCGCGCGGCCCGTACGGGCTGCGCCAGGCACGCGCGCGGCCCGTACGGGCTGCGCCAGGCCCGCGCGCGGCCCGTACGGGCTGCGCCAGGCCCGCGCGCGGCCCGTACGGGAAGCGCCAGGCCCGCGCGCGGCTCGGGCCGCCTGCGCGCGGTTCGGGCGGCTATGCCAGGCCCGTGGGCGGCCCGTTCCTCGCTGCCCCTGCCCTCCCCACTGTCCCCCGTGCTTCTACTGGCGCCCCACCCCTCCTACAGCCCGTTCTCCTGAATTAGGGTTTGGGGGTGAGGGGTATGGGGGTGAAGCCACTGAGTGCCGTTCCCCTCCTCCTCCTCCTTCTCCGTCTCCCACTGCTGCAGCTGCCGCTGAGGGGGGTGGGTGTGTGGGAGCCGAGGGAGTGGCGCTAGGGGGTGTAGTGTGAGCGGTGCTAGGGGAACAGCAGGGGGTGTGTAAAAAGGGGGTGGGACAGCTGGGGGAAGTTGAGAGGAGGCCGTCGACTTGTCGTCCGCAGCGCCTGAAGTCCAGGGAGCCACGACCCCCTGTGGCCTGAGTAGTCCGGGGCTCTGCGCCCGGTAGCTACAGTGTGTGCACTCCTGGGAGCACAGCGAGCCAGCTGCGACCCCCTGTCGCCGTGTAGTCCGGGTTTAGCCTGGTAGCGTCAGTGCGGCGTACTCCTGCTGCCTGTGTGTCTGCAGCTTCAGCCGTCGCCTCTCATCTTCTTGCTCCCACAGTTTCTCCTCCTCCTCACTTGCCCTCTGTGATAGCCTCTAGCTTTGCTTATAATTGTGAACTATTGCTCTGTCTGCTTGTTATGTTGATTGTACCCCACTTTGACTATGGGGGTGTGTCAGAATGTGATGGTTGTCTAGCCTGCAGTGGGGTACTCTATAGCGAGTACAGCCCTTCTAGGGTTTGCATATATGTATCCCTATGCTTGTTAGTCAAAACCCTTCTTGCCTGTTTCTCGTTTTGGCCTAGCATTTTGACAATCCCTCCCCCCTGCTGTTGCTGTTGCTGGTGGTGTGGCCGCTGCATGCTCTGCCGCCTCACTTGCAGGTGCCCCGTTGGTGGTGGTGCTGGTGCTGATGAGAGCGGAAGAGGTGTTGAGTGGCGTGGCGGCAGCAGCGCGTTGCAGCTGGCAGAGAGTGGTATTGACTGGCGCGTGCAGGGACGTCCTGACAAGGAAGGGCGAGGGCAGCAGTGCGAGAGTGAAGTTGAAACAGGAAACCAGTAGTGCAGTGGCTGCATGTCAAAGATGCCCGACGACACCGATGCTGCAGCAGCAGGCGAGGAGCCACCGTGGCTGGTGGTGCCGCTGCCCTCTGTGCCACCATCAGCTGCTCCCACGCGCTGCCCGCTGCCCGGCCGTGTCCACGCGCCCCACCTGATGGGGTTCCAGCCCCACCCGCCATCGCTGTGCCTCGCCCCGCCCCGCCTCACATCACTGCCTGCGCCCCCTCTGCCCGTAGACCCCGAGGGAAAAACACGTAACGTCACCTATCAATGTAGGAGATGTTGTGTGTGTGGTTTTGCAACCTCACATTCTGTATTGCCCTCAGTGTTTCATGTCCTTCATTTTGCCCTGATTTTTTCTCTCGTGCAGGGAGTGGGATAAATTCCTGCGTCGAACTCTTCCAGAAAAGTTGCGACAAGCACTTCCAACGGATATCTGGGTTAGACTCGTGCTCGAGTATTCCGCGACGATGCTAAGTCATTCTCCTTGTTTTGGATCGTCTTACACTGATCGTTGTACAGGCTTGAGACAGTTAGCCACACCATACCTGACGGTACATCACTCAGCCATACCTGACCGTAGTATGGCCCATAAGCAGATGTTGCAACAACAATGTTTAAGCGACCCAAACGCGAGCGTGCTTGTATCGGTTCCCTAGTCCTTTCCCCTCCTCCCCCTCCCCCTTCTCCCCTTCTCATGTTGTGCTTCAACACAATCCATACCTGACTGTACGCTTTATAAGTAGATGATGCAACTATACTGTTCTCGGCGTTTCTACGAGCGTGCTTGTATCGGTTCCCCAACCCGTTCCTCTCGTCCCCCTTCCCCCTCCCCTCACGTGCCACATGTCACATGCCACGTGCCACCTCGTCTCGTGCCACATGCCACGATCCATCTGCCACTGCCACGATCCAAACACGAGCGTGCTTATATGACTCCTCAACCCCCTGGTCCTTCTCATTGCCCCCCCACACCCCTCTTCCCGTGTTGTGATTCAACCTCAGTCCGTACATAACAATACGTCTTATAAGCAGATGGTGTTTTAGCTGTCCGTGAGCATGCTTGTATCTGTCTCCAAACCTTCCCCCTTGTCCCTCTCCCCCCTCCGCTCTCCTCCCTCCTCATGCCGTGCTTCAACCCAGTCCCCACCTTTTCGTATGCCCCATAAGCAATTGCTGCAGCTGCATTGTTCCCGGTGACCCTTACACAAGTGTGCTTGTACCTGCTCCCCACACCCTTAACCCCTACGACCTTACCCCTTTCACCCCCTCCCCCTTCCATCGCTCCCTCGTTGTGCCCCAGCTCTGTCCCTACCTGATTATACGCCCCAAAAGCAGATGCTGCAGCTACCACTGTCCCATGTGATCAAAAGTGGGCGTGCTTGCATCGATGACTGGAGGGGCGGGGCTAAGCAAGAGGGCGGCATAATCCTTAAGATAGGGCCGTTTGTTTTTGTGACTAATCTCATCTGCTAAATGGTTTGTTGTATTGTCTCCCTCCAACATGTATCACGTCGCGGACAGGATATACTTGCGCCTCTGCTAAGCAGGCGATACTAAGCATTGTGAGAGCGTTTCCGCGCGAGGTGCCGAGCTACGATGCAGAATGCACGGAGGACGACCGGGGAATATTGCCGGAGCACGTACGCATTGAAATCCATCACAATGGGGTGAGTGAAACTGTCTACTTTAGTAAGAGCGAACTCGGGCTGAATGTTAGAATGTTGATCTATATGGTTAAACCAATAAAGCCAGAAATTCAACCACACGGGTAGCACAACAATGTGCCGTAGTGTATAGTCAATGAGCACCCTATTAATTGATTCAATCATGTCTCTGCACCTACTAAGTTTGTTCGGCTCGGGAGAAAAGTCAACAAGATAGGCAAACTACTTCGACTCGAATCAACGATGGGAAATTATTGGTCAGGTTGGGTTCGAGATGAGTCAATGCTGATTTGGTGCTGCAGCCAGGGAAGGGAAGAAGGGGCGAGTTGCAGCAGCTACGAAAGTAGTTCTTGCCTGACGAAACGCTCTATTTTGGGAGTGAGAAGGTGAGAACGTGTGTGGGTGTATGGTGCATGCAGCCAGGGAAGGGAGGACAGGGCGAGTTGCAGCGGCTACGAAGGTGGGTCTTCCCTGGCGAGACACTCTCTGTGTTGGGAGTGAGAGGGTGAGAATGGGGTCGATCCGGCTTCAACCACACCATCACATTGCAGCCAAGTAGCGGTTTGGTCTACCGTTTTTCGACCCACAATGGTTTATAGTTGGTTCGCCTGCTTGGCCGATCTGAATCATGCTGCATGACTGTGTTCTGATTGCATCCTTGATGTATGCAAAAACAATTTGTATTTCATGTTATGGTTATGTTTTTTCTTTTCTCCTTACCAACCTCCAATCCCCTCTCCCCTGTAAACACATACGAAATATGTACAGGTACATTTCGTCTGCAGTTCAACATTGGAACGTTATGTTGTGGAGTGGAAGGAAATTAAGGGATGCAGTCTAACAGGCGGTGGTTTCATCATTGAATTGGATGCACCGGATGATCCAACTAGCTTCACTTTCAAAAGCAGCGATGCAGAACGCATTCATCATGACATCCTCCCTCATATACAGTCTCCTCCTCCTGGTGCCAATGTTTCTCCTCCTCCCGGTGCCGATGTTTCTCCTCCTCCCGGTGCCAATGTTTCTCCTCCTCCCGGTGCCGATGTTTCTCCTCCTCCCGGTGCCGATGTTTCTCCTCCTCCCGGTGCCGATGTTTCTCCTCCTCCCGGTGCCGATGTTTCTCCTCCTCCCGGTGCCGATGTTTCTCCTCCTCCCGGTGCCGATGTTTCTCCTCCTCCCGGTGCCGATGTTTCTCCTCCTCCCGGTGCCGATGTTTCTCCTCCTCCCGGTGCCGATGTTTCTCCTCCTCCCGGTGCCGATGTTTCTCCTCCTCCCGGTGCCGATGTTTCTCCTCCTCCCGGTGCCGATGTTTCTCCTCCTCCCGGTGCCGATGTTTCTCCTCCTCCCGGTGCCGATGTTTCTCCTCCTCCCGGTGCCGATGTTTCTCCTCCTCCCGGTGCCGATGTTTCTCCTCCTCCCGGTGCCGATGTTTCTCCTCCTCCCGGTGCCGATGTTTCTCCTCCTCCCGGTGCCGATGTTTCTCCTCCTCCCGGTGCCGATGTTTCTCCTCCTCCCGGTGCCGATGTTTCTCCTCCTCCCGGTGCCGATGTTTCTCCTCCTCCCGGTGCCGATGTTTCTCCTCCTCCCGGTGCCGATGTTTCTCCTCCTCCCGGTGCCGATGTTTCTCCTCCTCCCGGTGCCGATGTTTCTCCTCCTCCCGGTGCCGATGTTTCTCCTCCTCCCGGTGCCGATGTTTCTCCTCCTCCCGGTGCCGATGTTTCTCCTCCTCCCGGTGCCGATGTTTCTCCTCCTCCCGCTCATCCTGTTGTCGCTGCTGCTGGTGCTGCTATCTCGCTAGCTGATGTCGCTGCTGCTGGTGCTCCTCCCACTCTTCCTGATGTCGCTGCTGCTGGTGCTCCTCCCGCTCTTGCTGGTTTCGCTGCTGCTGGTGCTGCTACTGCTCTTGCTGATGTCGCTGGTGCTGCTTCTGATACCGCTCCTGCTGATGTCGCTATTGCTGGTGCTGCTACCGCCATCGCTGTTGTAGCTGGTCCTCAAGATCAGGTGAAACCCATCTTCTTATATGATCTTCATGCCTTGTTGATTAAAAATCCTTTTGATCCCTTGCTGTTAATGTGCTTGTCGTATTGCACGTCGTCTTGATTGACACACTACATGCACAATGTGTTACTTCTTCGTGTATTTTGCTTTTAGCAATTACGTGTGCAGGCATATGACGAGGAACTTAGCAAATTGACTCGTCACATGAGAAACTTGTGGCCGACGTTGAAGAGTTACATCCATTTTTTCACACCACATCCTTCCTTCCTGCGATGACTCCTTGTTGGACTTGTTGCAGTTGCGCAAAAAACGTAAAGCGGAAGAAGATTTGGCAAGGGGAAGGAAGAAGCAGAAGAGGATGGATGAAGAGATGGAGATAAGTGAGGAACATGAGGAGAGGGGGGTGGAAGAGGAGGAGGATTGGGAGGAGGAAGAGGAGGATTGGGAGGAGGAAGAGGAGGATTGGGAGGAGGAAGAGGAGGATTGGGAGGAGGACGAGGAGGTTTGGGAGGAGGAAGAGGAGGAGGGTGGGCAAGAAGAGGAGAGCAGGGAGGGAATGGAGGAGAAAAGGGAGGAAGAGGTGGAGAGGGTAAAGGAAGAGGAGAGGGGAGGGGGAGAAGGGGAGAGAAGGGGGGATGAAGGAGGGGACGAGGACAGTGGAGAAGGGTTGGTGGTTCAGAAGCCACTTGTGTACACGCATTATAATAACCTGGTGTTTGGAAACTGGGACACGACGGGAGTGGGGACGGGAGGAGTATGGAGCCACAGCAGCCGCTACAGTCCCAGCAGCCCTAGCAGCCAGAACCGTCACTGCAGGTCCAGCAGCCACCTCCCCCACTGCACGTCCAGCAGCCACCTCCCCCACTGCAGCCACAGCAACTCCAGCAACCGTAGCACCCCGAGAAGCTCCAGTAACCCCAGCATCCACAATAGCTCCAGCCGCCACAGCAGCCACTGCAGCCCTACCAGCCTCAACAGCCACAGCAGCACCAACAGTCACAACAGTCACAGCAACTTCAACAGCGATAACAGTCACGGCTGCCACTACAGGCCCAGCAGCAACAGCAGTAACAACAGCCACCGGAGCCCAAGCAGTAGCGGAAGCAGGAGTCACAGAAACACCAGAAACCCCAGCTGCCACTGCAGGCACGGTAGGCACAGTGGGCAGATCAGACAAATCCGCTAAAAGAGCCACAGCGATCAGGCTACTTGCAGCAGCCAAAAAACTAAAGTTAGAATGGAAAGAGAGCTCGAAAGTGGGGGGGACGAGCGCAGCGGGTCTGGGAAAGGGAGGTTCGAAAGCGGGGGGGACGAGCGGAGCAGGTCTGGGAAAGGGAGGTTCGAAAGCGGGGGGGACGAGCGGAGCAGGTCTGGGAAAGGGAGGTTCGAAAGTGGGGGGGACGAGCGGAGCAGGTCTGGGAAAGGGAGGTTCGAAAGCGGGGGGGACGAGCGGAGCAGGTCTGGGTAAGGGAGGTTCGAAAGCGGGGGGGGCGAGCGGAGCAGGTCTGGGAAAGGGAGGTTCGAAAGCGGGGGGGACGAGCGGAGCAGGTCTGGGAAAGGGAGGTTCGAAAGTGGGGGGGACGAGCGGAGCAGGTCTGGGAAAGGGAGGTTCGAAAGCGGGGGGGACGAGCGGAGCAGGTCTGGGAAAGGGAGGTTCGAAAGCGGGGGGGACGAGCGGAGCAGGTCTGGGAAAGGGAGGTTCGAAAGCGGGGGGGGCGAGCGGAGCGGATCCGGGGAGGGGAGGTTCGGAAGAGGGGGGGACGAGCGGACCGACTCTGGGAAGGGGAGGTTCGAAAGAGGGGGGGACGAGCGGACCGACTCTGGGAAGGGGAGGTTCGAAAGAGGGGGGGGCGAGCGGACCGACTCTGGGAAGGGGAGGTTCGAAAGAGGGGGGGACGAGCGGACCGACTCTGGGAAGGGGAGGTTCGAAAGAGGGGGGGACGAGCGGACCGACTCTGGGAAGGGGAGGTTCGAAAGAGGGGGGGACGAGCGGACCGACTCTGGGAAGGGGAGGTTTGAAAGAGGGGGGGACGAGCGGACCGACTCTGGGAAGGGGAGGTTCGAAAGAGGGGGGGACGAGCGGACCGACTCTGGGAAGGGGAGGTTCGAAAGAGGGGGGGACGAGCGGACCGACTCTGGGAAGGGGAGGTTCGAAAGAGGGGGGGACGAGCGGACCGACTCTGGGAAGGGGAGGTTCGAAAGAGGGGGGGACGAGCGGACCGACTCTGGGAAGGGGAGGTTCGAAAGAGGGGGGGACGAGCGGACCGACTCTGGGAAGGGGAGGTTCGAAAGAGGGGGGGACGAGCGGACCGATTCTGGGAAGGGGAGGTTCGAAAGAGGGGGGGACGAGCGGACCGACTCTTGGAAGGGGAGGTTCGAAAGAGGGGGGGACGAGCGGACCGACTCTTGGAAGGGGAGGTTCGAAAGAGGGGGGGACGAGCGGAGCAGGTCCAGGGAGGGGAGATCCGAGGGGGGGGCGGGCGAGCAGAGCAGGTCGTTCCAAACCTCGTGCGTTCGGCGGAACTTCCAAGCGTTTTTAGTGGTGACTCAACAAGGCATTTTAGTAGTAGCTAATTTTGTTTATGGTTTGAAAACCTTTTGAATATTGTGCATGAGTGTCTTGACATTTGGAGTAGAGTTCATCTTAGTACCTTAATACACTCCTCATGGATGAACGCATGTTGGTGAATCCACAATGTTTTGCATCTAAGCTACGAAATGAGCTACCGTTCTGTACATCAGATATCGTACGGTACATTAGATATCGTACGGTACATTAGTTTCCCTGTTATACGCATCAAACTACAATAGCCATAGGAGCACAATCAGTTTCAAAGCCCCCTGACCTGCTTCTGCTCCTACTGCTTCTGATACTTCGCTTTCGCGCACTCCCTGCCTGCTACTGCCTATTGCTCTCCTCCTCCCCTTCCTTTGCTTCCCCTGCCTGTTTCCCTCCTTCCTCCTCCTCCATCTCCTTCTGCCCCCTGTTGCTGCTGATGACGAAGCATGGCAAGCTTAGCAGGCACGTTCCATGAGCTAGAGAGGGAGGAGGCCACTGAGCCACTAAGAGAGGAGGCTGCTGAGGCACTGTGGAGAAAGGAGAGGCACAAAATGGCACAGAGGGGTGAAACGCAGAGGGATGTGAACCCTGCAACTCGATGCTGCTGCTGAGACGCCCGGAAACCTCTGATGGACAGGGAACGGTCGGGGGGAGGGGGACGAGGGGGGGGAGTTGGGTTGGGGGTTGGGTTGGGGGAAGGGTGGGTGCGAAGCATAAATGAACATATGCAATTGCATCTTGTTGGCCTGGTTGCGCCTCACACTGCCTCGCTGCTGCTGCTGAAACGCAGGCGCGGGCGCCTCTGGAACATATGCAATTGCTGCTCGCCCCTCTCATACACCTCCCCTTCCCCTTTCTCCTCTCTTCCCCTTTCTCCTCTCTTCCCCTTTCTCCTCTCTTCCCCTTTCTCTTCCCCCCCCCCGTTCTCCCCCTCTCTAACCCTCTCGCGCGCTCACCTGCCAGACCCCTCCCTACCGTCCCTGATTGCTCACCCCTCACATACACACCTCCTCTTCTCCTTCCCCTTTTCCTTGTGTGCCCCCTCCCCCTCACACTCACCTGCCAGGCTTCTCCGTCCGTTCCTGACTGCTCGACCCTCTCAGCTCAGCAGACAGCCTGCCGGCGCAGTAATTGGATCCTGGAAGGGGGGGTAAGGGGAAAAGGGGAAAGGGCGTGTGCTAAGGCGTGGTGGGGTGTGGTAAGGTGTGTTGGCGTGTGGCAAGGTGTGGTGGGGTGTGGTAAGGTGTGATGGCGTGTGGTAAGGTGTGGTGGGGTGTGGTAAGGTGTGATGGAGTGTGGTGGGGTGGGAACAATGCCTTTCTATGGACAGCCTGCTGGCTCAGTAGTTGGGACCCTGGGGGTGTGGGGGTGGGGAGCGTGGGGTGTGTGGTAAGGTGTGGTGGGGTGGGGTGGGAGGAAGGCGTCTCAGCAGGCATTTTGCTGGCTCAGTAGTTGGGACTCTGGGAACAGGTGAGGGGGAAAGGGGACAGGGGAGGGAGAGAAGGAAGGGGTGGGGGGTGCAGATGATGGAGTGAAGAGGTGAAGAGAGGACAGCACACACGAAAAAACATCCTTTTCACAGACAGGCCGCTATGCTTGCGGCTGATGGGTCTCTAGGGCGGGGTGGGAGGAGGATGGGGAACGAGAGGGAGAAGGCTCCCATTCGCCTCGAGTGGCAGCAGCTATGGAGGCGATTCTTCCCTGGTGAGCCGCCTGATTGTGAAGGAACGAAGTGGTTCTTCTAGTAAGGTCACCTCGTGTGGAAAAAAAAAAAAAAAAAAAAAAAACAAACTCTGTGCTATAACTGCAACTCAGACTGCCTCGCTGCTGCTGCTGCTAAAACGCTCTGCCCTGGCCCGGACGCCTCTGATGGACAGGGAACGGTCGGGGCGGAGGGGCGGGTTGGGGGGGAGGGTGGGTGCGATTGCATCTTGTGGCTCTCCCTGCCCTGGTTGCGCCTCACACTGCCTCGCTGCTGCTGCTGAAACACACCACCCTGGCGCGGGAGCCTCTGGAAGCACAAGAAAGGAAGAAAAATTAGGGATGATTGGGGAACTGGGGCAAAGGACTTGGTGGGAGAATAAGTGAGGAGCAACCGGGAAAACAGAGGTGCTTCGCTGCTGCTCCAGCAGGGACGAGAGAGGAGGCAGGAAGAAGGAAGGATGGAGGAAAACAAGTGAGGAGAGACATTGAGTCGTAATGCCCTGCTTTCTCGACTTCCTCTGCTCCTCGTAAAAGAGCCTACCTGGCACGCTGCTTCCTCCTGGCCTTGCGTGCCCTCTTCTTCACTCCCCAAGCTCATTCCCACTGAATTGAAACGCTGTCCTCCGCCTCACTAGCCTCAGTCAGCGCCTCACTCTCCTCTGCCGCCCTCCTCTCCCTCTCATCCTTACTCTTCCCCGCTTCCGCCCCCTTCTCAACCCCCCCAGCCTTGTCAATCGCCGCTGCAAGTCTGCGACCTTCCCAGCAGGCCCAGCAACGAGCCCAGCCCCTTGGTTCAACCCGAACCTGCAGCTTCGGCAGCAGACGCGGCCGAAAACCCTCCGGACTTGCTTGCTGAGAAGCGGATGGACGAGGCTCGTTTCACGCTGCTGGCGCGCCGCTTCCTGGCGCTCCTTGCCAGAGCGCCTTCACGATTTGCCCGCTGCCCTCCCCCCTCCTCCCCCCCTCCTCCCCCCTCCTCCCCCCCCTTGTCATCAGCTCGCCATCTGTTGCTGAAAAAATGGATCGAGGGGCGAATTGGAGAGTGGCAGCAGAAGTAGTACCATCACCCTCCTTCCCCTCTTGCCCCTGCTCTCCCCCCTTCTTTCCCTCTCCTACCTTTCCTCCCCTTCCCCCCTCACCACTGCAGCTGCAGCAGCCTTCAGTTAACAGAAGCGGTACCAACACCCTTCTTCCCACCCTCCCCTTCTCTCCCCCCTTCCCTCCCTTCCCTCCCTTCTCCTCCCCCTCCCCTCTCCTCTCGCCCCCCTCCTGGCTGGGTGAGTCCTATCAGAGTAGGAAACAACAGCCTGCATGTGCCCCGTGTGTCTTCTTCCCAGTTGATCCAGTCACTGCGCCGCCTCAGATTCTCGCCTCCCGCTCCCCCTCCACTCCTCCTCTCGCTCCTCCTCCTGTTCCCCCTCCCACTCCACCATCCCTCCCACTCCCCCTCCCCCCGCCTGGAACGCGCTGCTGCTGCTGCTGAGCGACCGCCTCAGCTTTGGCTAGGGCCCGCTGCCATACGGGCTCTAGTTCCCGCAACTGCGGCGGCAAGTTGGTTGGATCCCCCCATGCTTCCCTGTCGTCTATGCTTTTGTTCTCCACGTTGCTGAACTTCTTCCAAAAGTTCTTGACTTCTCCCCTCTTTCGACATACGATATCAACATCCTGCTCCGTTAGAAACTCCTGCACCTTTTCCTTCAACTCATTCCACTCCGCCTCCTTCTTAGGCTCTATTGCAAACGCAACTTTACCGAGGGCTGCCCAGGAACCTGCTACTTCTTGCGTCCTGAAGTTTCCCCCACAATACGATTTTCTCTTGTTACCTTTTTTTGGCACTTTCACGCTAAACTCTACCGTGATTTTATCACCTGAGCTTTGTCTGAGAGGTACACCATAGTATCGACTTCTTTCCCCACTAACTTGAGCTCCCCCTTCCATTTCACCTATCTCCCTCCCTCTCCCTGTTAATTGGTGCTGAAGCTGCTGGCTCGTCCCTCCAGTCTCAGCTCCCCTCCCTTCTATACTTGCTGGTTGCTGCAGTTGCTGCAGGCGCCTCCTCTCCGTCACCCTCTCCGCTATCCCTCCCCCCTCTCCTCCTGTTGCTGCTGCTGGTGTTGGTGCAGGCGTTCGTCCTCTTCGTCTGTCTCCCCTCACCGGTTTCCAATCTCGCCCCTATCTCCTCCACTTGTTGACTGCTGCAGCTGCTGCCGACTCGTGCTCTCCCTCACACTATACCCTAACCTTCTCCCATCTCCCCCTTCTTCTACTTCCTCATCCTCTTCCTCTTCTTCCTCGTCCCCTTCTTCTTCTTCCTCCTCTTCCTCTCCTCCCTCATCCTCTTCCTCTTCTTCCTCGTCCCCTTCTTCTTCTTCCTCCTCCTCCTCCTCTCCTCCCTCATCCTCTTCCTCTTCTTCCTCGTCCCCTTCTTCTTCTTCCTCCTCCTCTTCCTCTCCTCCCTCGTCCTCTTCCTCTTCTTCAGAGTACTCTTCCCCTTCTTCATGGTCAGTGTTGTCTGCTACTGGGAAGTATGTAGGCAGTGTTGTTGTTGCTCCTACTCCTACTGTCACCTGTGCTGCTTGTGATGATAGCGGTGCTGCTGAAGGTGATGCTGTTGCGGCGGCTGTTGTTGTCCCTACTGCTCCCTCTAATGCTCCCCGTACTGCTCTCGGTACAACTCCCCGTACTACTCCCGGTACTACTCCCTGTATGACTGTCGGTACTGCTCCCAATACTGCTCCCAATACTGCTCCCTGTACTGCTCCCTGTACTGCCCCCGGTACTGCTCCCTGTGCTGCCCCCGGTACTGCTCCCTGTGCTGCTCTCGGTACTGCTCCCTGTACTGCCCCCGGTACTGCTCCCTGTGCTGCTCTCGGTACTGCTCCCTGTACTGCCCCCGGTACTGCTCCCTGTGTTGCTCTCGGTACTGCTCCCTGTACTGCCCCCGGTACTGCTCCCTGTACTGCCCCCGGTACTGCTCCCTGTGCTGCTCTCGGTACTGCTCCCTGTACTGCCCCCGGTACTGCTCCCTGTGCTGCTCTCGGTACTGCTCCCTGTACTGCCCCCGGTACTGCTCCCTGTGCTGCTCTCGGTACTGCTCCCTGTACTGCCCCCGGTACTGCTCCCTGTGCTGCTCTCGGTACTGCTCCCGGTACTGCTGAATGTGGTCGGACCCTTCTCCTCTCTTCCCTCACAAAATTTCCACTCTCCCCTTCCCTCTCCTCGGTCCTTTCTCCCCTCTCTCGTCTTCCCTCTCCCGTCGTCTCAGTCTCATCCTCACTTGTAACCATTTCGACCAGAAACGTTTTTATATCGTCAAGCTTCTCCGATAATGCTGCTGTTGCTGCTTCAGCCGCTTCTGCTCGTGCTTCTGCTCGTGCGACTGCTGTTGATGCAAATGCTTCTGTTGCTGCTCTCGTTGCGGCTGCTGCTGCTTCAGCCGCTTCTGCTCTTGCTTCTGCTCGTGTGACTGCTGTTGATGCAAATGCTTCTGTTGCTGCTCTCGTTGCGTCTGCTGCTGCTTTAGCTCCTTCTGCTGCTTCTTTCGCTCCTTCTGCTGCTTCTTTCGCTCCTTCTGCTGCTGCTTTCGCACCTTCTGTTGCTGCTCTTGCTCCTTCTGCGAATTCTCTCGCTCCTGTTGCTGCTTCTACCGCTGGTGCTGCTGCTGCTGTTGCTGCTGCTGCTTCCGCTGCTGCTGCTGCTGCTGCTGCCGCTGCTGCTACTGCTGCTGCTCCAGCTGTCGCTCCTGCTGTCGCTTCTCCTGTTGTGTCTGCTGCAATCTTAGTTGGAGAAGTGGAAGAGGCAGGCGCGGTCTGTGCAGTTGCTGCAGCTGCTGCTGTCGCTTCTGCTGTTCTTGATGCTCCAGGAGTACAAGGTGTAGTGGAAGCAACAGGGACGGCTGCTGCTGCTGCTCTTGCCGCTTCGGTTGTTCTTGCTGTTTTTGAACGTCCCGCACTTAGTTCTTGTGAAGGTTCAGCTTCTCCAAGTGATTTCCTTTTGCTCGTTTGTTGCGATATCTGAAAAAATGGTGAAAATGCAGGGTTGGAGGTAATGGGAATGAGACATGATCAAGTGTCTTCACATGGACATAAGATAGCACGATGCTGCCAGGCTCACAGTTGGTGCAGCCACATTCTCACCCTCTCACTCCAACACAAAGAGCGTCTCGCCAGGGAAGACCCACCTTCGTAGCTGCTGCAACTCACCCCGCCCTCCCTTCCCTGGCAATGCACCTCCCTTCTGTATGGTGCAGCCAGGTAAGGGACGACGCCGTTTCTTACCTGGCCTCGTGATTGCCGCAATTTCTCGGCTTCACGCAGTGCAAAGTTCAACTCCTTGTGCTGGACCAAAAAGAAGAATAAGAAAAACATGGGTAAAAACACTTGCGTTACTCGAGAATAACAAAACACAAGTCAAGGCACAAGCACCAGCCGTTTTGCATGTGTAAGAGCTCCAACAAACTTATGCTTCACCAATAAAGACTTACAGAGTGAGTATTAACAAATAATCTCGTAAGAGATGGCGTCCATTCATAGATGTTGCTATAGCTGACTTGATGTTCTTCACTCAGCCACACAAAACGTGTGAATAATGAAAGATGGGGGAGTGGCTGAAAACGGGGGTTAGGAAAAGGATGGGGAGGAAAGGGAGCAAGAGGAGGGGAAGAAAGGGCGGATTCTTTATTTTTAAACTTCGCATGCTCTCATTTCTCTCACGTTAGGCAACAACGGCCGCACCACCGCATGTCCGCTCGTTTCGTCCAGTGTATTTTGTTGCCGGCCATCCAAAGAGAGGATCTCGCACGGCCATGTGCGGTAGTCGCCAAGCTTAGCCCACACTACATCCTCCACTCTGAACGGTTGAGGAGAGCGCGACATTGGCAGGGGTGAAAGCGTGATGAGGGTGGAGCGGAACGGGATCAAGCAGGCTGGGAAAAGCGGGATTCCACACTAGTAAGTGCAGCTAAAATTATAGATGAAGAGAATCAAAATCAGTCCCACGAAACATCGGCGCCGAGGCCTGAGCTCTGACGCGCACGTGGCGTGGCAATCCTGCCTACTTCCTTTCTGCTGAACAATCTCCACGCGGGAGGAGCAGATCACTCTAGCTCCGGTTCAATGGACGTCTACCAAAAGAAAACAAAAAGGACGGGTCCTCCTTGTTGGACCGCGCGCTCCCGAAAGGGTTCGGACACAGGCGTTTGGTCTCTGGAGGGATGGCCGGTGGCAGCACAAAAAGCGACCGTGTGAGCTAGAATCCTCGGATCGGTTTCTTACAACAGATCTAGGGATCAGATCAATCGAGTGGACGTTGTCGACAGGCGGGAAAAGCAAACCGTCTATTCGAAACAAAACACACCAACTCGCGTGGGATTCCGAATCAGGAGTCCTGGCAGAGCCTAAACTGGAAGGGACTACGCTGTGATGGAGTTGGGGTTGGATGGGCTTCCCTGCTCTCTGGCTCTCTTGGAGTCAGGGTGAGGTAAGGACTGGGTGTTGAAGAGATTAACGAAATGGTTCAGCGAACTAAAATTTGGAAGGACGAATTTGTCGAAGGCGGATATATTGTAACGAAGATTGTTGCGCTTTTCCGACTGGATGTTGGCCTGGAGGGGCTCAGATCGAAAGGAATGTGATTTGCTAGCGGGTTCGCGAAATCTGGTATTTCGTATGTTTCTAACGAGTACCTGAACTGCTGAACCAGAGCTGGTAAACCGAACCCAACAAACGCGAATTGTACAAACAAGCAAACCTTCACAGGAATAAAGTACATGTTTTGTACAATACTGATCAGTGGGACCTAGCAAACTTGGAGTGATTCTCAGGAATCATTGACTTTACCACCAAAGACCATCACAAGTGCGGTTATAGAAAGGTGTGGCTATGAAAACGACGGTCCCCATTGTTCTTCCATACGGTATTTGTTACCAAAATCAGATTACAAAGCATACACCTCAGCTCCTGCAGCCCTCTACTATCGGCTTCCTCCCTATGTAGTATTCCTTGCCTTCCATCATGCTCCACTTGCCTCCAGCGATTGCCAGCCTGCAGCTGGCATGATGCCATGCCACACAATGGCACACCATACTTTGTCACACCATGCCATGGCACCACACACCATATCATGGCACACATGACATGCCACACAATGGCAAACCACACATGCCACAGCATGGAATGCCAAACCATACCATCCCACAACATAGCAGAACCCAAACCATGGCATGGCATGCCACACTATGCCATGCCACACCATGGCTAAGACATGGCAGAGTATGACAGAGCAAACCATGGCATAGCACACGACGACAATCATACACCATATAATAACATAACTCACAAATACATACCACACGGTAACACATAACACAGTAACATACCACATAGTAACATACCACAATAACATACCACAGTAACATACCACATAGTAACATACCACAATAACATACCACACAGTAACATACCCCTCCCCACATTCACTGCCCCACCCCACTTCACACAAAACGCCCACCACGACTTACCAACGTGTCAGACAATGACATGCCAGAAAATGACATGCCAGACAATGACATGCCAGACAATGACACATGATCACAATACTACCACATACCACACGATTATGCCAGACTGTGATGTACAACAGTACCGCATAGCACACTATGGGATCCATAGTAGTAACATGCCGTAGTAAGCTGCCATGCCCTTTCTTACACTCGAGATTGCGGCATGCCACGATGTTGGATACCATGCCATGATATGCCACAGTGTCCCATACCACACTGTCACGCATCACAGAGCCACACTTCTCACCATCACATGCCATACTATCACAAACGACATTATCACACACCTCACTATCATATGCCACGCTATCGTACAGCACACTATCATACACCACACTATCATACACCACACTATCATACACACTATCATACACCACACTATCATATACCACACTATCATACACCACACTATCATATAACACACTATCATACACCAAACTATCATACAGCACACCATCATACACCACACTATCATACACCACACTATCATACACCACACTATCATACATCACACTATCATACACACTATCATACACCACACTATCATACACCACACTATCATACACCACACTATCATACACCACACTATCATACACCACACTATCATACATCACACTATCATACACACTATCATACACCACACTATCATACACCACACTATCATACACCAAACTATCATACACCACACTATCGGACACCACACTATCATACACGACACTATCGTACACCACAAGATCATACACCACACAGTACCATGCCACACAGTAACATGCCACATAGTAACCTCCCACACAGTAACAAACCCCTCCCCACCTTCACTGCCCCACCCCAATTCACACTAAACACCCACCACAACTTACCAGCCCATCCCCCAGCAGTAGGAGCAGCAGACAGCCCACTCCCTTTCGAAAACAACATCCCCAGTGGCTATGCCTTGCGGGGGAGGTATGGCAATGGAAAAGCATGATCTGGCCCAAAACTCAAATTCCACCCCTGACGTAGCTAGAGCTGACGCGAACCAGAGCCGCCGGCCGGTCGGCTCTGACGGTGTCCATTAAGCCTTGAACGCCAGATCGGTTACTTGAGCACCGAGTGCCGCCGCCACGCAGATTCCACCCACCACACCCCACCCACAAGCCACAACCCCAGAGGGTGGCGCCCCTAAGAGAGTGTGCTGCCCGCTTGCTCCCATGCTGCCCCTCCACCCGCCCACCTCCCCCATCCCTTCACCCCATGCGTGCTCACCTGTGTGTACCTACCAGAGCCGTGCAGCGCCATGATGCCTGAGGCTGCTGGGAAGGGGGAGGGGGGGATAAAGAGAGGGTGGGACTCCACTGTGGTCCAGCCAGGGTGCTGTTGGGTGGGAGGGAGGAGAGAGAGAACAGGAGGTGAGTGAGAGGGTCAACTCCACACTCCGCCCTTGCTCCAGTGCTCCCACCCTCAGGCTGCTGGGGAGATGCGGAAAGAAAGAAAGGAGGGGGTCAGAATACCTGACCTGTAACCATACCTCACCTGTTACCACACCTTGCATACCATGACTCGACCTCGCCTAGTCTGTCCCCTAGCCCCCCAACCCCCACTGCTGCTACCGCTGCTGCTGCTCCGCTTCTGCTGCTACAACTGCTGCTGCCGGTCTGCTTCTCAGCTGCGTTCTTCGATAGTGATGCCATGTGACCTGGTGGCTGGCAGAAAGGAGGAGAGAGACAAAGAGTGAGGTGTGGCGTGACAAGAGTTGTGAAGTGTTTCGAAAGGCACAAAGGATGAAGCAGGAAGATGTAGAAACGACAAGCCAGAAGCGCTGATGCTAAGAATGAGGGAACATGCAGCAGAAAACGAGCTTGAGGGAGTTGGAGGGCAAGAAGGAAGTTGACGTACCTTGAGAGGCCGAGCCCACCCCGATACTCTCCCTTGTGGCAACGATTGCCATCTGCTGCAGTGCTGCCGTCCTCCCCTCCCCACGAGTCCCTGCACGGCCACAGGGGAGGGGCGTGGGGAAGCGTCGGTGTTGACCCCAGCGCCCCTCCCCTCCACCTGCAATGCACACAAGCAGAGATAGTCAGTGTGCAATCATAACACAAGGCTGACATGACAGCTGGAACTTCAAATGCAGGGAAGTGGAGGGAAGGGGCCACTGGTGGAGGGAAGATTCACAAGCCACAGACCATCAAGGGACACCTGAAAAGTGAACCTGAAAGTAGGGGGTAACCTGAGGGGTGTAAGGGCTACGGCGGGCTTAACCTGAGGGGCTTAGCAACAGAAAGGGGGGTGGTGGTCTGTGGCCTGCAAATCAAGGCTCAACCAGTGGCGAGTGAAGGAAACAGGCAGCAATGTGTGAGAGGAAGGAGCAGAAAGCAAGGGTGAGTCCAGGGAGGAGAAGGCACTTAACTGGCAGCTGAAGATGCACACTCATCTCCTTCCCTCCCCTGCTCCTTGTGCGCTCCCCGTCCTCCCCTCCCTGTTGTTGCTGCTGGTGCTTCCTCTGTTGCCTTGCGAGTGACCTGGAAGGGGGCGGAACGGAAGGGAAAGACAGGGAGCGAGTGAGTGCAAGCGGTGGCGCAAGCAAGGGCGAAGCAGAAAGCTGAGCAGCAGGGGAGGGACAAATGCTATGAGTGACGAGAAACGAGCAGCAGAGAACGAGCTTGAGGGCAAGGAGAAAGCCGACGTACCTTGAGAGGCCGAGCCCACCCCGATACTCTCCCTTGTGGCAGCGATTGCCATCTGCTGCAGTGCTGCCTCCCTTCCGTCCCCACGAGTCCCTGCACAGCCACAGGGGAGGGGCGAGGGGAAGCATCGGTGTAGACCCCAACGCCCCTCCCCTCCACCTGCAATGCACACACACGGCGGTGGTCAGTATGCATGGCATGGGTGCAAGCACAACAGCAGCCGACTGGAAACTTGCATGAGGAAGAAGGAGGCCACTAGCAGAGGAACGACCACACGCCACAGACCCCAAGGGCTGAACCTGAGAGATATACCTGCTGCACCTGAGGGGGTTACCTGCACCTGAGGAGGTACCTAAGTGTGGGGGTCTGTAGCATGTGAGCGCGCTCAATCAGTGGCGTTGTTTGAAAGGGAAGGGCGAAAGAAGTGAGAGCAGAGAAATACAAGAGACATGCAAGGAGGGTGAGCTCAAGGCAGTTACTTAGCTGATGGCGTGAGGGCGAGCTCAAGGCAGCTGCAGCACCACCAGCCGCCACGGCCACTCCCAGTCTGCTACTCTGCTTCCCCTGCTGCTGCCGCTGCCCCTCCCCTCTCCTCCGCTGCTGCCCTGCTGCTGCCCCCGTGCTGCCCTGCTACAGCCTTCAATGTACTGGGAGGGAGGGAGCAAGGCAGGGGTAGGCAGGGGATCAAGGGAAAGCAGTGAGAATAGGGAGAAGAGTAGGCAGAAGCTACAAGGAAGCAAGGTAGGCCGAAGCTAGAAGGAAGCAGGGGAGCAAAAACGGAAAGTGAGCATGGGAAGAAGAACAAGCAGCAGCAAGTGCATGAGGGGAAGAGGCTCACCTTGTTCCAGACCACCCCATCCCAATACTCTCCCATCCCAATCCAGCCGAGTGGAGTTCTGTCCCCCTCCCCTCCCACCACTGCCACCTGCACGGCCACAAGGGGAGGGGTGCGGGGGAGTGGCGGTGTTGACCCCTACGCCCCTCCCCTCCACCTGCAAGGAGAGAACTGAAGACAAGTGAGTAAGCGGCTAGGGGTAACAATGTGAAGGGTGTGCATGGGTGGGGTGGGGTGGGGTGGGGTGGCAGGTAAGAGCAGGAAAGGGGGCCACTGGTGCAGCTTCAGATGCAAGCCACAGACTCAAAGGGAGGCTTCACCTGAGAGGATACCTGTACCTGGGGTGGTATACCAAGAAAAAGGGGTCTGTGGCTTGAAGTTGTAGCACGACCAGAGGCTCAGATTTCACGACCCGAAGCTCAGATTTGAAGGGAGGTTCATGTCTCTTGGGTGTGACAGAGGGCAGCACATGAATAGAGAGAAAGGGCGGGGTACTTAGCTGTGCGTGGGTTGGGTGGAGAGCAGCTGCTGCCTGTGCACTCCATGTCCCCCGCCACTGCCACTCCCGTGTGAGCGACCTGCTGGGACGAGAGGGGGCAGGTTGGGACAGAGAGAGGAAGGGAGGAAGGGGGGGAGAAAACGGGGAAGTGAAGGGGGCGCAGAGGAGTGGGGAGAGCAGTGAGGAAAGAAGCCAAGACAAGTGAAAGTGAAGAGTGCAGCAAGCGCAAGCATGATGCGTGCATGAATGGACTGCTGCAGTGGCACACCCAAGAGACCTCGTACCGGCTGAACCAAACTAAAACAAATACCTGAGGCTGTACCAAGAAAAAATATACCTACTACCTTGGGGGAGGGAGGTCTAATGGGTGTGACAAAGAGCAGTGAAAAAGGGAGTGTAATGCATGGTGCAAGCATGACAAGCAAAGCAACACAGTGCGAGGGTTGAGAGCAGAGAGGAAGGGCGAAGTACTTAGCTGTGGGTAGGTTGGGTGGAGAGCAGCTGCTGCCTGTGCACTCCATGTCCCCCGCCACTGCCACTACCATGTGAGCGACCTGCTGGGATGAGAGGGGGCAGGTTGGGACAGAGAGAGGAAGGGAGGAAGAGGGGGGGAGAAAACCGGGGGAGAAAACCGGGGGAGAAAACCGGGGGAGTGAATGGGGGACTGAGGAGTGGGGAGGCAATTGAGAGTAAAAGCAAAGATGAGAGGAGTGAGAACCAAGAGAGCAGCAAGCGCAAGAATGATGCGTGCATGAATGGACTGCTGCAGTGGCACACCCAAGAGACCTCGTACCAGCTGAACCAAACTAAAACAAATACCTGAGGCTGTACCAAGCAAAAAAAGATTCTGCTACCTTGGGGAAGGGAGGTCTCATGGGTGTGACAGAGGGCAGTCGTAAAGGAAGTGCGATGCATGGTGCAAGGTCGACACGAAAAGCAACAGAATGGAGGGAGAGAGAAGGCACTTAGCTGGCGGGAGGTACAGTCGTGCGACCAATCTCCATGCCACGAATCGCGGACGACGACGGTTTTGCCGTGGTAGGACACGCGAATGACGGTTTCGTCAGGCGACGACGCGCGGACGACGATTTCGCCAGGCGACGACTCGCGGGTGCCGATTTCGCCAGGCGACGACGCGCGGACGACGATTTCGTCAGGCAACGACGCGCGGACGACGATTTCGCCAGGCGGCGACGAGCGGACGACGATCTCGCCAGGCGACGACGCGCGGACGACGATTTCGTCAGGCGACGACGCGCGGACGACGATCTCGTCAGGCGACGACGCGCAAACGACGATTTCGCCAGGCGACGACGCGCGGGCGACGATTTCGCCATGCGTCGACGCGCGGACGACGATTTCGTCAGGCGACGACGCGCGGACGACGATATTGCCAGGCGAAGACGCGCGGGCGACGATTTCGCCATGCGTCGACGCGCGGACGTCTACCAATAGCGTCGTCAGTTGCATCTGAACGTAGACAACACAGAAATATCGGGGAATGACGGTTTCGAATGTGCATTGACGAGGCTCGGGACGAGGTGCATCGAACGCAAATTAGAGGCTCGTGAGGATGAGAGATCAACGGGAAAGGCGGTAGTAAAAGCAACTCAGAGTCGTACGGAAGCATTCGCGGAAATCTTCAGGGAAGAGGCGACGCGTGGTCGGCGGACGGTCGAAGAAAGGAATACCGTTCGTCGGAATGAGAAATTGCGTCACCACGGCGGCACGTGGTCGGTTGCGCGGGTGCATCTGGTGAGTGGGTGAGACACCAAGTGCAAATAGGGAAAGGTGCACCTGAGATGTGCGACAGCGAAACGTGTATTCTTATAGAATGACAAATAGATCGACAATGAAATCTCGCAGCGAGGAAGCATCATTGGAAGACTAACCTTGTCGGACTAACTATTCGAATATCATTGCTTCATCGCCGTGCCGACAGCGGGAAGCGGACTCATCCCCCCCCCCCGGAAACGCTACCGTGGAACGCAGCCAGCGAGCGACCACTAGATAAAGCCATCGACGCGAGAACAAATCGCTGGGAGGAAGTTAGAATTCGTCGCCAGCGACAACGAAACCAGCGTCCAGAACCAGTCACGAGCATGAAGAAAACGTGAAGTATACGTGTGAGAGGCTCTAGTCGAGAACTGAGACATACGCCCGTTGAGGAGAAACGAGGAGATGAGCGGAAAGAATGAGGCGATGGGATGGGAATGGGATGTGCCTGTTGGGTTGGGCCAACTCGGTATTCCTAACATCTGTCAGGTCCAGCTCCCTCAGCTGCGACAGTTGGGAGATGTCGATGACATGGGAAGAGCCACTTGCAAAGCAGCCCCAAGAGAGGGTCTGAAGAGAGGTCGGCAGACTGGCAGGGGGTCCACTGAGCTCCTCACAGTACCATATCTCCAGCACCTTAAAGCCAGGGTCTCAAGTAAGCTAAGGAGCTGTCAACTGCTTTGCAGTTGAAGCTAGGTTACCTAGTTATTGCAGACGAAGTTCTTTCTGGTTGGTTTGGAAAATCAGCGTGCGACACACCCGTCAGTGCCCCAGCGATTGCACAACACTTTTGGGTACTTGAGACTTTCGATGAGTTGGGGGCATTTTAGGTTTGGTTCCGAACCAAATTTCCAAGCCTAGAAGGTTCGGATACACCCAACGATTTGCGTTCGCTTCGCACCCCTCGCTTCTCCCCACTTCAAACCTTTCACCTCGCCAACCAATCACAGCCCAACTTTCAACAGCAACTGCAAAACACTCGTAGTACTTGAGACCCTGGCTTTAAGCCCCACGAGCATATCCAGCCTCGAGGGTAGTTCTGGAAGTTCGGAGCAGCCATTGATATGCAAGGTTTGAAGCCGAGTGAGTTGTAAGAGTGACATAGGTAGCGTGCGGATTTCGCTTTCTCGAATCTTCAGCACCCGTAGGCTGCTCAGCTCCCCCAGGGCTTCCGGCAGCTCATGTGAGCAGTTTTCCAGCTGAAGGCTGGTCAAGGAAGACAGCTCTGTAAATGAAGCAGGAAAGGGCTCTCTATAATCGACCAGCATGAGTTCCTCCAGACTTGCAAGGGCCCCAAAGTCTCCTGGCAAGGGAAATTTCGAATTGGCGAAGCAGAAAGTCTTGAGGGCTGTGAGGCCGCCGAAACCTGATGGCAGGTGGAGGATTTCACACCTAGTTAGAAAGAGTGACTCGAGAGATGTGAGACGGCAGAAGGAAGCAGGGAGTTCCGAGAGAGGCAAATACTCCAGCACCAGCAGTTTGAGGGCCGGCAGGTCACCGAAGTTGCTGGGCAAGGTAACGAGACTGCAAAAGTGGAGTCTAAGAGTTTCCAAGCAGCTGAGAAAAGCAAAGCTTTCAGGCAGGTGAACGAGACGACACTCGTGAACTGTCAGCTTTTGAAGACGTGGCAGCAAGACTCCGATATCATCAGGATGTCCGAAAATATTAGTTATATTTTCTATATGTAACAGCCTGTAGGATTGGGTACTGTAGTTATAGCCTTTCTAGTTGGTGGTGCACCATTCTTGCTTGTGCTTGCTTATTTGTACTGCTTGCTCTATAGTGAACCACCTCTTTTGTTGGTCTCTCTCTCGCTACTCTCGCTTTGGTCAAACCCTAGCCATGGCATCTGAACTTAATCTACTGCTTTGACATGGTATCGAGCTAGTTTTCGATCAATGGGCCTGCCAATTTTCGACCCTGTCATGGCGGCCCTCCCTCCCGACGACTTTCTGCTGCGATCGGGCCGTCAGTGCGACTGTCGCGTCAAAATCCGCGACGGTTTCGACCGTCAGTGCGATCGACGGGGCGAAGGCGGCGCTCTGCTCGTCGCGCTGCTTCGTCGCCCCGTCGTTCGCGGCCACGCTGCCCCAACGTCGCCTCGTCGCGCCTCCGTTTCGGCCCCCTATCCTGCTCGTCGCGCCCGAGCAGCTGTCCCCGCCCACCCTCCCGCAGTCCCCACTGCAGCTGTCGCACTTGCTGCTGCCGTGCGCGCTCCTACTGTGGGGGGAGGTCGTGGGAGTGGCGGACTATGGGGGAAGTGGTGTGACGGGGAGGCCGCAGTGAGCCGCCTGCAGCAGCTGCCGTCATCATTTGTCGCCCCATACGCGACTGTCGCTGTGGGGGGGAGGGTGAAGGGGTGGCGAGAGTGTAGCCGCAGGAACCAGCCGATGCCCTCCTCTCTCTCCTCTCTCCCTGCAGCGCCTGTCGCTGTGGGGGAATGGGGGGAGTTTGTTGCGCCAACAGCCGTCCCCCCTCCTCTCTCTCTCACTGCTGCGCGTGCAGCTGTGGGGGGGAGGGTGAGAGAGGGTGGCGGAAGTGAGCCAGGCATCTGCTGCTGCCGCCTGCTGCTTTTGTGGCACCTCCAGCTGCCGCCCCTGCTGCCACCTGCCCTTGCTTTTGCTGCCTGCTGCTGTGGCCTGCAGGTGCTGCCGTCGAGCCGCTGCTGTCCTGCTGCTTGTTGCAGCCACAGAGCCTGCTCCTCAGGCGACCTGCCGCCACTTGCTCCTGTTTCTGCTTCTGCCTTGGCTGAGGGTTTGATGCAGCTGAATCTGCCACCACTGCACTGGCTGCGAATGCACTTGCTTGCTGCTGCAATTTCCGCTGCGCACTCTTGGTGTACCGCTTCAGGGGGCATTTACTGCATATTCCTATCCTACAGGCAGTTATGGGGGAGTGTCCGAAAATATTAGTTATATTTTCTATATGTAACAGCCTGTAGGATTGGGTACTGTAGTTATAGCCTTTCTAGTTGGTGGTGCACCATTCTTGCTTGTGCTTGCTTATTTGTACTGCTTGCTCTATAGTGAACCACCTCTTTTGTTGGTCTCTCTCTCGCTACTCTCGCTTTGGTCAAACCCTAGCCCGTCTGAACTTAATCTACTGCTTTGACACAGGAAGGCTCGTTAGCCCTTGGGATTTGGTAATGAGCAGCTCCTCTAGCCCAGTGAAGGACGATGCTGGTGGGAAAATGGTGACAAACTCAGGACAGGAAACTGCGAATGTGAGCGACTTGAGGGAAGGCGGTAGGACCATGCTAGCAGCAACCGTCGAGGGATCATGCTCCAAGTACTCAGCAAAGGTGGTTAGATGGGTGAGTTGTGGGAGGCAAAGGAGGGTGGCCAGGTCCGGAAGAGTCCAGGGAAAGGTGAGACAGACGGTGGAAAGGGCTGTGAGGTTTGCGAAGTCTGGATTCTCCAAGGCTCGTTCGTCGTTGAGGATAAGGGTGCGGAGACGACTCATACGAAAAAAGGATGTGGGTAGCTCTTTTGTTTGAAAGGGGCAGAAGATGGAAAATTGCTGTAAGTGAGGAAGTTTCTGGAAGAAGAGATTCAAACCGTTTGTAGATATTGGATCCTCCTGCTTTCTGATATAATAGCTAGAATCATCCATAAGGTCCGGTGCAAAGCTCCTTCCCACGTGGAAGGTCGTCAACCCGGGGCATGCCGAAGCGAGGTGAGTAAGAAAGGCGTTGTTGAGCGTCTCGACGCTGTTGTCGCTGAGGTGTAGATGGGTGAGGTTGGGGAAGCATGCGACGGCGGCTGAGAGTTCCTCGCAAGACACAAAGAGCCCCTCTTTGACGAAGAGCGTAGTCACGTGACCCTTCGCCAGGCGACGCCAACGACGGCAGACGGAAGCGAGGAGGAGATTATGAGCCGCGTCTGCGTCTGGAGGAGGGGCTGGTATTGGCGTCTTGAATTCTAGGCCCGCATACGATCTACTTGTATACTTATTGGAGTCCCAGAACCCTGTGTGAGGGGGGTACCACAAGCTACCACTATAACACTCGCATGGATCAGGTTGTTTGAATGACAGCTTCAGAATCTTAAGGAGGAGGTCGTTTGGTAGACTATTGATGTTCTTCCGAGACTTCACCATGTTGATTTTAAGGAAACTAGCGGATGATCGCTAAGGAACGGAACAGGAATGAACGTACTCACGTGAGGAGTAGGTAGGTACTAACGGAGTGGGTCGAGATGGCACTCCCTTTTCATGTGCGATCTGCTCATGAGTGGAGAACGAGAGCAGGTGGGCGGAGAGCCAAAAAAGGGTGGACAGGGTGATGCAGGCAATCATGTAAGGACGGCGTGTTTGACATAACACATAACGACACTGGGCTCGACATGTGATGCAGAAAGGGCGTAGGAAAAGCATGCATGAACGGTTGTTGCATAAAAGTCTCAATTTATGGCTGATCTGAGAAACCTAGGTCACTCCCGTGGAACACATCGAATCCTGTTCAGACAAACCACGACGGGACTGGCTTTTCGATTCGCTTGACCTATGCTGTTTGCATGCAGGCTGTTTGGATTTACATCCCACGGACTAAATGAATAAGGCAACTTCAACCTCGATTGCAAGGAAAGAAGCAGAAATGTTGTACTGCAATGTTTCCTAGATGTTGCGTTCAGCCACTCGCACACATGGAACGGTGGGAGACCAGGGATGTGGTGGTGAGTATGGAGTGGTGCTGGTGGGTTGGCTGGGAAACTAGGAAACAAGCCCGATCAAGCCTTCCGCCAGCCACCCGCACCGCACCCGCACTAACTGCTGCTCCCCTCCTTGGTCTCGCGGAAGCATGAAAGCTGGGAAGGCGGGCCTTGACGACTCTGGCGAAAGACGTTTGTGTGTGTCTGTGAGATTGAGGGTGTGCTGCGCTTGTTACCTTGACGAAACCGAATTGCGACATTGTCCCCTGTCTGGCGCTTGCGAATCGCATGTCATAACCCCCACACCAACCAGGGTTCGTCCGCCAGAGAAACACGAACCTACGGTAGCTTGTGTGGCACAATAACTTTCATTGACAGTTCTGCAATAAATAACTCTGATAATACTCTGCAAGCCCCTTCAGTTGAATATATTGCTATAATTGCTCAATGTAATATTACTAGTGTCTGATAGCTGGCTCCACTATTCTAACAATAGTAGCCGAGCAAGTTGCATCTGACCATAGTTCCAACAACGCTCTACAGCAGCACGTATTTTTGAATTCCCACCTGGCATGGATAGGATGAGAGAGTGTCACACCAAGATACTTAAGACACATCACGTACCTACGCAAAGATACTCCCACCGCACGTTGCATCTGACCTTGCACCACAACAGGCACGCCTGCAATACCATGGCGCACAAAATGATCCTCCTACTCCACTACTCTACCTATCACCAGCCTCTCCAACAGTGAGGGCAGTTTCCCCTTGGCACCTGCTGTTCCTGCTCTGCCGCTCTTGCTGTCAGCACCACCTGAAGCTCCCTCAGAGTCAAGCGCCGGTCCTCCTTGCTGCCCATGCGTGCCCTCCCTCCTAGCAGTCCCCTGGCTGCCTGTGCCTCCTCTAGACGTCCCCTGCTCGACCCCACTGCTGCTGTTCAGGCTGCTGCACGTGGTGGTGGTGGTGCTGGCGGTGGTGGCAGAGGTCACAGTGGAAGAGAGCCCTCCTGCACTGCTGCTACTGCTGCTGCTACCTGTGCCCATGCTGTCTGCACTCCCTGTGCCACTGCTCCTGTTTTTACTGCTGCCGCTGCTCCTACTGTTGACGGTGCTGCTGTTGCTGTTGCTGTTGGCACACGCTTCTTCGTCCCTTTCACCCACCTCCCACTCCCGGTTGACTCCCTCTCTGCTGCTCTTGCTGCTGCCATGCTTCGCAATCTCCCTTGCGCTGCCACCATCAGAAGCAGAGGATCTTAAAGAATTACCGGGCGCAAAGTCAAACGGCATCGAGTGCCGGCGTGCCTGCCCGCTGCCACTGCTGCTGCTGCTCTTGCTCTTGTCCTCGCTATTAGCTGCCTCGTTGCGCTTTCTGTGAGCAGGAGGGTCGATGAGGGTGTATTTTTTCCTGCTTGTCGGGGTGGTAGGGAGGGCCATGGAGGGCGGGGAGGTGGGACTGGGATAGGATTTACTGTGAAGAGTGGCAACAGCATCACCACGTGCAGCAGCAGCCGTAGCAGCGGCAGCAAGAGAGGAGGCACGCGGCCGAGTTACTAGAGTGGCCGCATGGCTGGTCGTTGAAGGAATGTCCAGGGCGATGGGATCATCAGCAATAGGGAGTTTGGAGTTGGAGACGCCACCAGTGCTGCCCTTTGAATGAGCCGCTGTGGCACCACTACTGCAGCTGCTGCCACTCGTTGTTGTCCCTGACTGCCCCAGCCGCCCCTTTGCCCGCCCTATCGCTGCAGAGGCTGTTTTTGGTCGCTGCTGCTCGCCCTGCCTCTGCCCCTTCCCCTTCGCCTTTGCCTTCCCCTTCCCTCGCTCCTCCGCCTCCTTCTGCTGCTGCTGCTGCTCCTTTAGATAGTGCTCGCTCCTTGGCTTCCTCCCCTCAATCCAGCTTCCACCACCAAAGCCACGAGTACGACCTCCCCCGGTCCCACCTGCTGCACCACCGCCAGTTGTACCTGCTGCAGCAGCAGAGGCAGACACGCTGGCAGCACTGGTGGCACTGCTGCTCCTGAACCAGCTGTCACCAGCCTTGCTGGGAGTGCCCCCTGCGGGCGTGCGGGGTGATGCAAGCAAGGAGGAGAAGGAGGAGAGGGCGGAGAGCGAGGGCCGGGTGGAGGGGCGGGTGAAGGCGAGGCGAGGCGAGCAGGAAGGGGGGGCATTGGAGGCATGCAGCTCGTCTGGGTACATGTGCTGCTCGTGCTCCTGCTCGTGCTGCTGCTGCTGCTGCTGCTGCTCGTGGTTCTGCTTCTCCTGCTGCTGCTGGTGGTGGTGTGGCTGGGACGAGTGCGAGTGGAAGAAGGGACTCTTGCCAGTGTTGCTGCTGCCTGCACGCCCCTTGCCCAGGCCACTGCCGCTGCCGCTGCCTGTGCTGCCAGTGAACGCACCAAGCGACGCAGAGAGCAGCGAGCGTGGCGTGAAGATGCTGCGACGAGGGGTGAGAGGGGTGGAGGGAGTGAGCGGCGTGGAGGGAGTGAGAGGGGCCGTGGAGGTCGTTGCAGCGGGAGTCAGGGCGGAGGAGGAGGGTGAGGAGGAGGCGGGGGAGTGGGGGGGCGAGGGGGACGCGGTGCGGGGCACGTGGATGACCAGAGAGCTAGCGGGGTGGAAGCGGAAGCTCCTCTGCTCCTCCGTGCTCTTGATGGCAGCGCCAATGCTGTCCCCTCTCGTACCCTCGACTGCTGCACTGCCAGGGCTCCAAGCAGAGAGCTTGAACGACCCCAGGTGCAGAGGGGAGAGCAGCGCTGCCTTGCGGCCCTGCCCCTCCCCCTCCCCCTCATTGCATGCGCTCACAGCGCCTTGCTCCCCCTCTGAACCACTCTCACCATCCTCCCTGCTCGCCTCGCTGCCGCTGCCACTCTCCACGTGGCTGGCAGCATGCTGGGATGCATCCCCCCGGCTGACATCCCTCGCAGCGTCTAATGATGCCGCATCCACCACAGCCTCTGCCCTCACACTCGCCTCATCTGCCACGTCACCACCTGCCATGTCATCACCCGCGCTGTCACCACATGCCACATCACGATCTGCATCGCCAGCACCTGCCACGTCAGTATCTGCCACAGTGGCTGCTTCTGCGTGCAAGCCATGACGTGCTGTTGCTGCAGCTGCTTCCCTCTCTCGCCCCTCCTCTGCCCGCACGGACTCCGCAATCGGCAGCGGCTCCATCTGCTGCCCCTGCTGCTGCTCGTGCTCCTCTTGCTCACCATTCTCCTGCTGCTCTGCTTCCATCCGCTCCCCAGTCAGCTGACCATGTGGTGCGTCCCCACTAGCGCCATCACTTGCATCACCGCATGCATCATGTGCATCATGTGCCTCCACCACCGGTCCCACCAGCAGCACCGCATCCTCTACAGGCACCATGCCATACGCCTGCACCTCCCTGCCCTCCTCGTCCTCCTCTTCCTCCTCCTCGCCCTCCTCCCCCTCCTTTCCCTCTTCAACTTCCTCCCCTTCCTCCCCTTCCTCCCCTTCCTCCCCTTCCTCCAACTCCTCCTCCTCCTCCTCGTCGTCCCCCTCCCCGCTTTCCCCTTGCTCCTCGCCATCTTCCCTCTCCTCCCCGTCGCCACACAGCAGTGTATGCCCACCATCGTGCACCCATCCCTGCTGCTCCCATGCCTGCAGGCCCCGGCTGCCGTCCAGAACCGCACCTCCATGCGCATCACCACCCACTATAGCACCAGCAGCACCAGCAGCAGCAGCAGCACCGGCAACAGTGGTGCTGTTCGAATCTCCAAGCAGCTCCTCCAAGTGTGACGCTGCCTGTGCGTGCTGCTGTGAGTCAGTGCCACCACCACCATCGCCACAGGTGCGAGTGGTGACAGCATCAGGGGGAGCCGCATCGGCTGCGTCATGGTGGCATGCAGTGCCGGGAGCATGGGGAGGTGTGGCATGGATGGGCGTAGGGGAAGCGTGCTCGAGGGGAGGTGGAGGTGCCACGTCCATGGGCGCATGCAAGGTGCCAAACGTGGGCACGTGCATGGTTGCGTGCATGGTTGCGTGCATGGTAGCGTGCGTGGGCGCATGCAGGTCCAGACTCAAGTCTGAGGAGGAGGCACAGCTGCTTGACGCCGTGTGGCATGGAGTGGCGTCAGCAGCAGCAGCAACAGCAGCAGCAGTAGGGGTGGGAGGCAAGGAATGGTCCAGAGGTGAAGGCAGGGAGGCATGGGCGTGGGAGAGCACGGAGTCTGACCCACTGCTGCTCTTCCTCCGCTTCTCCCCATCCCTCCCTCGCCTCGCTCCCCCTTCCCTCCTCCCCGCCTCCCTCTCTCCCTTCACACCAGCCCCAGTGTCACGAGAATCTCTCCCATGATAACCCTCGTCCTCCTTCTGCTTCCCTTTCCCCTCCCTATGCTTCCCTTTCTCTTCCCTGTGCTTCCCCTTCTTTTCCCTATGTTCGCCGTCCTTCTTCTTCCCATGACCCTTCCTCTCACCGTGCTCCCCTTGCTTCTCCTCACGGCTGCCCTTCTCCTCACGGCTGCCCTTCTCCTCACGGCTGCCCTTCTCCTCACGGCTGCCCTTCTCTCCCAAACTCTCTCCTTTCGTTCGCCCCTCTTTACCTTTCTTCCCCTCATTCTTCCCCCCGTGCTTCCCCATGTCCGCTTCACCCTCCCCTATCTCCCCCCCATGCTTTCGCTTCTCCTCCCTCCTGTGCCGCTTCTCCTTCCGCTGCTTCTCCCTCTTCTTATCCTCTTCCCTCGTCCCACTCTCATCCCCCTCCCCCACCATACTCAATTTCCTCTGTTCCCGCCCCCCTTCCCCGCTCTCCTCCTTCCCTTCAATCGTGTTTCCCTCAAGAACCGCATGCTCCTGCGCTCCACCCTTCACTTCCACCCCATGCCCCACCGCACCCATCTCAACCGCTTCACACACTGCTGTGCCACCTCCCACCAGCTCCACAGGTAGTCCCTCCTCGTCTCTGTTTTTATGCCTTCCATGCCGCTTATCCACCGCTTTTGGGCTCTTCTCCACCCCTCGTGGGCTCTTCTTTGACCTCTTAGGTCTCTTCACCACTGCTGCACCCTTTGGGCTCTTAGACGCCTTCCCTTCTTTCCTCGGGCTCTTTTCTGGATGCTTCGGAGTCGAACCCTCCTGCTCCTTCCCCTCCCCATGCTCCACCGCATGTCCTTCCTCACGGCCCTTGTCGTGCCGGCTGCTCTCGTGTTTACTGCTCTCATGCCGGCTGCTCTCCTTGCTTCCGGACCTCTCATAACCCTTTTTGTGTTCCGCATCATGTCTTTTCTTCTTGCATGAGCCGCCACTCCTGCTCACCTCAGCGTGCGCAAGGCCATGTGAGCCCCTCCCTTGCTTCTTATGCTGCCCCCCCTGCTCGCCACACTCCTCCCCTTCTGCTCCCACCCTCTCAGCCTCCACCTCTTCCGCTTCCTCCGTGCCCTCGTCCCCAGGATTCCGCTCTGCCTTCTCTCCCTCCACTCCCTTCTCTCCCTCCACTCCCTTCTCTCCCTCCACTCCCTCCTCATCCACCTTCCTCCTCTGCCCTCCCTTCTTCCCCACCTCTCTCTCCTTCCCCTTCTTCCCCCTATCTCCCGCTGCGCTCCTCTCCCGCTGTCGCTCCTCTCCCCTGCTACCACCTTCACCCCCACCCTCGCCCTCATCTGCGCTCAACTGCACGCCACTAGCATCGCTCTCCGCGCTCCCACTAGCTCTCCCACGCCGAACCACATTGCCGCTCGCCCTGCCACTCCCACCTAAACTGCCGCTCGACCTCCCGCTCCCACCCACACTCCCACTCGACCTGCCACTCCCACCCACACTCCCACTCGACCTGCCACTCCCATGCTCCTCACTGCTGCGCCCACTGCCCGCCCCTCCTCCCCCCCGTAACACACCCACACTGCGTCCGTCCAGGGCTGCACCTGCCTCACACCCCGCCCTGCCCATTGGCTGCTGCGCCATTGGCGTGGCAAGGGGAGATTCCTGAGCAGGGGAAAAGTCAAGAGCAGGGGAAAGGTGAGCAACAGGGTGAGGGTGGGGTACAGGCACGTGGGCTGAACGGGCGGCTGCATGTGTGCTGCGTTGCTCAGGCGCCCTTGCTCCTACTGCCTTGTGCAGTGCGGGCTGAGGGGACGACGGGCGCTGCAGTGGCGTGACTGAGGGGCGCTCCTGAGGGGCAGTGGAGGAACGCTGCAATGGGGCCGTTGCAGGGCGCTCAGATGCTCGTGCCCCTGCCCGCCTCACACTCCCCCCGCCACTGGGTAAGGGAGTGGGGGACGAGGGGCGTAGTGAGGGGGAAGAGGGGCGCAGTGAGGGGGAAGAGGGGCGTGGAGCAAGGGCAGAGGGGCGCAGTGTCGAAGTAGGACCCCCAGGTACAGCAAAGCGGGCACCGGAGGCAGCAGCAGCAGCAGCGGCAGCAGCAGCAGCGGCAGCAGCAGGAGAGAGCAGAGGGCGGCAGGCTGAGAGTCTTCACGAGGCCTCGCGGCCGACCGGGCTGGTGGTGCTGCTGCTGCGGAGACTGCAGCTCATGGGGGTGCCGCAGCGATTGCTGCTGACGGGGGTGGTGTGGTGAGTGCGGTAGTTGGTGGGGGAAGTGGTGCTGTTGACGCTGAGAGCTTGAGCGCGATGGGTCAGAGAGACGGGACGCAGCAGGAGCAGGTTGCGGGTGGGGCACAGCAAGGGCAGCAGGATGGGGCACACTGGAGCTGCGCGTCAACAGCCGCCTGCTGCCTATGCTTGCACCCACACCCACCCTCCCTTCCTTCACAACCCCCTCTGCACTTTGCAACTCTTGCCCCGCCACGCTCTGTTGCACGCCTCCCTGGCCATGCCCCCTCGGCACCTCATGCTGTCCATTCTTCATCCCCTTCCCCCTCTCCATCGCCTTTTCTCTCGCCTCCACCTCCTCTGCTTCCGTCTGCCTCTGCATCTCACCATGCATGTGTATCTGAAACCGTTCCTCCCCCCTCACTGCCTCAACCCTCAACTTCTCTTCCCCACGCGGCTCATACACCCACACCTCTTGCCCAGGCTGCTTCTGCCATCCCGACTTGCTCGTCAATTCACGCCCACCCTCACTGCGCCCACCCTCACTGCGCCCACCCTCACTGCGCCCACCCTCACTGCGCCCACCCTCACTGCGCCCACCCTCACTGCGCCCACCCTCACCATCCCTGCCCCCGCCCCCATCACTGCTCCCCTTCCCTGCTTCTGCATCCCTTGCTGTGCTGTGCCCCTCCCTCTCCCCTCCTCCGCCCATACCCTCCTCCTGCCTCCATCGGACCTTTCTGTCGTCCTCGCCCCCGCCCCGGTCACTCTCCTCATCCGTCCCGCCACTTACTCTCCCCTCCTCCTGCTCCGCCCTGCGACATCTCCCCTGCACTTCCTCATCTCCTCCTATTCGCTCCTGACTCGCGCTTGAATCGTCTCCCGGACTCCTCCTTCTCATCTCCTCTTTCTCCTTCCCCCTTTCCTGTTCCGTCTCTTTCATCCTTCCCTCGCCCTTTCTCTCCACCCCACTTCCCTCCTCTCCATTACTCTCCCCCTTCCCCTCACTCTTCAGCTCTGCGTTTGTCCTCCCATTGGCCTCCACCACCTCCCCCTTGCCCGCCAGCCTCCTTTCCACCTCACTACTCGCTCTCCTACCCTTCCCATCCATCACCCCTCTCTCGCCCTCCACACCTCCCTCGCTCTCCTCGCCCTCCTCCTCACCCTCTTCCACCACAGGCGTCGCTCCACCTGCCCCCCACCGCTGTCTAAACGCACGCTCTCGCAACCGGCTGCCCTGCACGCCCCTCAGGGCGTATCGCGCCCGCCTCTCCGCCCTCGCCTCCCCCGCGCCCCCCGCACCCCTCTCTCCCGCCTCCGCCCCACTCCCCCCTGTCAAGCTGCTGTGCTGCTGCCCCCCCACACCGCCACTGCGCCTGCCACCAGCCCCTGTAGCAGCAGCAGCACCTGCTGTGCTCTCGTCCTTGCTACCCCCCGCCACCTTTCTCAGCAGCCCCCCCACACCCTCGCGCCACCCCTCCCTCCGCTCCACTGCTATCCCCAACTCGCTCGCACTGAATACCTCTCCTCCTCCCAAACTCATCCTCCGAGCCAGCCGCCTCTCCGAACCACCCAGCCCGGACCTGCGTTCCGAGCCTCCTGCCGAGCCTGGGGTTGCAGGTGAGGCAGCAGCAGCGGCGAGGCCCAGGCCTAAGGACCACTGACTGAAGCTCTTCCTGTGGCGACCACCCCCCTCCTCCTGCAGACTCAGGTGTCGCACAAACCGCCTCTCACCTGTTGTCCCCCTTGCTGCCTCAGATGCCCCTGCTCCCCCTGCTCCCCCTGCCCCCCAATCCCTGCTTCCCGCCCTCCCTGCTGCGCTCATCCCCCTGCCAGCCAATGGGGAGCGGCCACCTGGACTGGCTAGCGGAGGAGTCCTGGGGTTTGAGTCGCTCCCTGCTGCTGATGTGGCAGTATCCCAGTAGCCACTGCTGCGTCGGGAGATCCTCTCCTCCGGTAGGCTCAGATTCTTTTGGAAAACCCGCCCTGACCGGCTGCTGCTGCTGCTGTTGCTGGCACTGCTAGTTATGGCGGCAGTGGCAGCAGTGTGAGGTGGGCCAGTGGGGCTCAAAGCAGGTGCTGCCTTGCCAATCCTTTGGCTTGACATTGATGCTGAAGGGGGCAACCCAGGCCTGCCAGGCAACCACCCTCCTAGCCCTCCTCCCCCCCCTCCCTTTCCTCCTCCCCCTCCCCTTCCTCCCTCCACACCCCTGCCCTCCATGCCCCCTCCATCTCCACTACCCCGCTCCTGCAGACTCAAGTGCCGCACAAACTGCCGCCCCCCCACGCCCCTCCCACCGCCATCTCCCCCTCTCGGCCTACCATCACCCCCCTCACGCCCTCTCTCGCCCTGCCGCTCCCCCTGCCCCATAGATTGCTGCAGCGCGCCTGCCCCTGCGCCTGCTCCTCTGGATCCCCACGGGCTGCCCTGCCTGCTCACCCTCTCCTGCTGCCAGCTCGCATGCTTCACCAGCGCCCTGCCCTCGCTGCCCATGCCCCTGCCACCACCGCCACCACCAGCACCACCAACAGCAGCCGCAGCAGCACCAGCAGCAGCAGCAGTGGTAGCACGTGAGGGACTGGGGCCAGCAAGCGAGGAGCTCCCAACACCGGTTCCTCGCCTGCTGCTGCTTTGGCTGTCCGCCTCGCCCATTCTCCGCCCACTGCTGTTGGCACTGCCGCCACCACTCCCACTGCTACACGATTCCGACCACCCCCCCTCCCCACGCCTCTCAACCACCCGCTCCAGCCCCCTTCCCCCGTCTATCCCTCCCATCGAACCTACTCCCGAGCCTCGGATCCGAACCAGAGGCTTGGCAGCAGCACCAAATCTCCTGGGCACAAGATCGGGGCGGCCCAGCCCACCCCCTGCTGCCAAAGTTTCCTGCAGCCTCGCCTGCTCCTGCTGCAGCTGCCGCCGCTTGCGCCGCCAGTTCACCAGAAACGAGCTCGACGCACGCACGTCCGCCTCCTCTCCCCCTCCCCCCTCGCCCCCCCCTTCCCCTCCAGCTCCTCCCCCTGCTGCCAACCCTTCCCCCGCCTCGCGCCCAACTTCACCTGTTCTGAGCCCGCCCAGCCCTCTGCGACCGAGAGCAGGGTCTGCAGTCCTGGGCCGGCCAGATGGCGTGCTGGGGACACTGCCACTCTCCCCCCACTCCCCTCCCCCTCCAATGCTCCCCCGAGACAGACTGCGCATCCATCCCCCTGCTCCCCCTCCCCCGCCCGCCCTCTCCCCTCTAAAGCTGCTCATCACACTCTCCTCGTCCCACCAGCTGCCCACCTCGTCCCGCGCGTCACCCCTCCCCATCTCGCTCCACCCATCCTCACTCCACCACCCATCCATATCCGTCTGCACCGAACCCACGCTCGTGGCCCGACCGAGCCTCCTCTTCATGCTCTTCCACGAGCTCAGGCCCGCACCAGACCCTATCCCTGACCCTATCCCCGAGCCTATCCCCGAGCCTCCAGCAGGGCTGGCAGCAGAGGCGGGGGCGCCGAGGCTAGAAGTCCAGCTGCTGCCCCCAGCAGCACCAGCAGCAGCGGCTTCACCAGCAGTAGTGAGGCTGCAGGAGGGGGGGAGGAAGGACTTGGGCAGCATGGAGGGTGCTTGGCCGCTGCCCAGAGCCTCATCGTATTCAGGGCTGGAGAGAAACTCGTGCTCCGTGCTGCGAGCCATGGTGCTCAGACTCATGGGGAACGAACGTGGTACCATTGACACTCTGCCCTTGCCCTTGCCTTTGCCTCTGCCCTGCTGACTGCTCTTGCTGCCTCTGGCGCCGCCGCTGCCGCTGCTGTCGCTGCTGTTGCTGGTGGTGTCGCTGAGAGAGTCAAAGTCAGGCAGGGCTGAGGATGCCAGGGGGATGGTGGCATTTGATGTGGGTGTACCAGGGGCGGACGCCACAGGAGCAGATGCAGCAGGGGCAGAAACAGCAGGAAAAGCAGGGGCAGCAGGGGCATGAGTGGGTGCAGCAGGGAAAGGGACTGATTTCTTCCCCACAATTCTCTCCCACGCGGCTGCTGCACCTGCTGCTCGCCTCGCGCTGTCCCCTTGCACGTAAGCCTCGCTCACATCTTGTTTGTTTGCCGTAGCTCCCTCCCTCCCACTCCCCTTTTCCTTCCCACTCCCTCTCTCCTTCCCACTCCCTCTCTCCTTCCCACTCCCTCTCTCCTTCCCACTCCCTCTCTCCTTCCCACTCCCTCTCTCCTTCCCACTCCCTCTCTCCTTCCCACTCCCTCTCTCCTTCCCACTCCCTCTCTCCTTCCCACTCCCTCTCTCCTTCCCACTCCCTCTCTCCTTCCCACTCCCTCTCTCCTTCCCACTCCCTCTCTCCTTCCCACTCCCTCTCTCCTCCTCACTCTTCCGCCTACCCCACCCACTGCCACTCTGTGCAGACCCCTGTCCCCCGCGCCCCCCCTCCACCTGCGCCCTCCGCCTCCGCAGCACCTCCTCTCTCCGCCTCCTCTCCTCCTCCGTCTCCCCCTCGCTAGAACCGCTCTCGCTACTATCACCAAGCTCGTGCGCCCCCACCACGTTAACGGGCTTGCGTGTCAGCCCCCCTGCGCCCCTCCCACCGCCCTGCGCGCGCTGCTGCGCGCTCCCACTCCTCCCCCAGCTGCCGCTCCCACCTGCGCCCCCCGCCCCGCTCTCAGAGCCATCCCGCCTGGCCTCGCCAGCGAGCCCCCATTCATCATCCTCGTCGTCATCAAACCAGTCCGCGCCAGCCGTCCGCATACGGACCTCCGCGCCTGCTCCCTCCTCTACCGCTTCCTCTCCGCCTCTCCACCCGCTTCCCTCCCCACGCCCCCTCACGCGCCCTTGCTGCTGCTGCTGCTTCGTCGCACGACCTGCTGCATTGTCAGCGCCTTCCTTATGCGCACCATAGCTGCTGCCGTCATGCGAGACTCTAGGGGTGGAGCGTGTGGGGTGAGCGGCTTGGGAGTGGATAATCACGCTCTCCGCCTCGCTCCACGCGCCCCCTGTGGTCACCGTGCCTGATTCGCTCCACACCACTACGCTGCCCCCCTCGCTCCCAGGCACGAAGCTGCTCTCGCTGCCCTCCCCTTCCCCATCGCTCTCGCCCCATCCACCCTCCCCCGCTCTTCCCCACTCGCCTTCCTCCGCGTGCCCTTCCCCTGCGCGTGCCTCCTCCCCCCATCCGTCCCCCCCACTCGCCCCTTCCTCCTCTTCCCCATTTCCCAAAAGCTTCCCTTTCACGTGTCCCAATATCCTGGATAGTCGTCTCTTCACATGCTTTCGCAAGCCAATGTGGGGAATGGGGGACGCCGACCTGGCGTCGCCTGATTGGTCGACCGCCATTTCATCCTCATTCTTCCGACCCTGGACTTCCAACCCAGGCCCGGGAATTGAGGAGCTCGCCGAGCCTGTGCTCTCGGCTCGGCTGTGTGACCGAGGCACGCGCCACCACGACTGCGCCAGGTGCGACAGGGACCCTGCTGAGTCAACCCTAGAGAGACCACTCGGGTCCGAAACCAACAAAACATCGCGCGCTTCGGGAGACTCCCCGGAGTTCCAAGGTTTCACGGCGGCGCGGGTGCTTCCATCATGGTGAGCGGCGAGCAATGGGTCGTCGCCGTCAAAGGACGTGTCGCTCCATGACCGCGATTTCTTCCTCCTCTCCTCTTTCCTCCTCCCTTCGTTCTTCCGGTCCTCTTTTCCCCGTCCCTCCTTCCTCCCCTCCTCTCTATGCTTTCCATCCCCATATCGCTCCGTTTTCCCCCTCTCCTTTCGCCCTTTCTCTCTGCCTGTCTCATCCTTGATTTTCCGGCCAGATACCGTCGTCACATCCCCTTTACAGCCTGACGCTTTACTCGCTAACGGCCGCCGGCTACTTCCGTCGGTCCAGCCTGTGAGCTCCTCCTCGTCGTCTGACGACAGCAGCCCAGTGTCTGCTGCGAAATTCCGGCCGCCTATAATACCAGCCGACGTCTGACGTGACGGTGTGGTTGGACGACATTCTGAGTGCGACGACGCGCGAAACATGCCTAAGCATACATAAATGCTGCTGTGGAGTACTATCTCCAATCGCTAATGCCACAAGACCACGACAACAAGTCCAATGAATTTTGAAAGACCTTAAGTTGAGATGAACTGCGTGTGCGGACGAGACTAGATGGATTGGCGGTGATAAAGGTGGAGTGGAGAAGCCACTAGGTGGTAGTGTCTTCCACTGCATTCTGGCTGTTGTGGCTCCCGATTTTGGAGCAGGGGAAGTCCACATAGATCCGACCTGGAAATCTTGAATTGGAAGTGTAGTCAATATACAGTGCGTTTTTAAACAGTGCGAAAAGATACAGTACGTTTTTGCACGTTATTAAGCGGCATCTCATAGATGCAACCTGCTTCGAGGTTTGCTTGCTGGCAGCGATGGGCAGTTTCAGCAGTGCAGGCGTTCAGGCCAGCAGATTGGAAACGGGCAGAAAATAATTGACCCGCTCGCATGCTGCTGCAGCATTTGCTGGCGGGCGTGCAAATGATTGATTTGCTGATCGCTTCTGGCGAGGCGAGGCGACAGAAAAGTTATG